TCTGGTGAAAATTTCATGTCATTAGCACCTCTAGTAATATATTTACTGAGAAAAATGGTGACGTGTTCAATACTTATTTTACCCGCTGTACTGTATATTGTCATCATATGGTCGATGTGAATCGATAACATTTGCCCATCTAACACAGTCATTATGATATCACATTGTATCGATCACAGACGTGAAATGAATTGAAATCATATCATGACAGACTTTGTGATATCTAGAAATATGGAATTGTCATCCAAACATATCCATGTAATATTGTGTCGTGATAAAGCAGTTGATTTACACCCCTAGTTCTGGGGCCTTTTAGGACCTCCTGGGTGAATCATTAATGATCTCTTATGGTGCGTTCACACCAAAAGCGATTTCAGCATCAGGAGCATAAGGTTTACATGCAAAGTCTATGGTGGATGCGCTTCAAGCAGCGTCGGGAAGTGCTGCGGCGCCTCAAGCGCGATTAGAGCAGCGCGATTTGAATGATTTGAGCGTTCGACGTGCTTGATGCGCAAATTGCTGAAGTTGGAAAATCTGAACTTTTGCAGCTCGACGCGCAGCGTCAACCAATCAGAGAGACTCCACTGTGTGACGTAGCGACATATTTCCAGCGTCAACCAATCAGAGAGACTCCACTGTGTGACGTAGCGACATATTTACCGACAGGACAGTTTACTGAATGATGTCCACTAACCTGAAACAGATGGAGAGGAGCTCTTTAGCTGAAATCGAGTGCCTGCAGTCGGTGTCCTGACAGGAGATATCCGCACAAATGCGTGGCAGCGACTCATCAGACTGGACTCGGGACAAAAACAGTCCTGAAAGCGAGCTGTGAGCCTCTCCCTCAGGTCCTGGGTGATGAAACTCACCAAACTCAGAACTTCTCTGAATTATCTGGTGAATTAATTATGAATTAATTATCTGATGAGCACATGCTCTTGCTCTCTGTAAATAAAGCAAAGCCACTTCCTCGTCCGACATTAAACAGAGCTCGACAGAGGAGAGACCAGCAGAGGAGGGAGGGGCGGGGAGGGTCTTCAAGAGTTGACCTGCGTCTGACCTGAAAGTGCACAAGCGTCCAACTTGAAGCTTTGGATGCGATTTTGACGCTGAAATCGTGTTTGGTGTGAATGCAGCATTAGAGTGATTTTGTTGGTCAGCCACTCCTTTGAAGGTTCACTACTGTTTTAAGTTTCTCCAGTTGTGGATAACGACTTTATAGAAGTGATTTCTTGATTCTACAGGTTTAGCAGTAATCAGGTCTGGGTTCAGCTGGTGAACCGATCTCAGATTTAAAAGAAATTTGTCAGGTTTTTTAAATAAAAACTCTTCTTTTTTAAAATAATAGAACTAGGTTGATTCAGGTATCTATTTTGAATTAACTCTGATTATTTTTTTGTCTGATTACATGTTTTGACGATCTGACAAAAAAAAAAATAAAAACTGTATCTGAAACGTTCAGTGCTCTGCCTGAGATTTATGACTGCTGCAGCTGAATCAACTCTGCAACAAAACCAAGAAGCTTTCCCCCACAGAAACGGTGGTACTCACTGCTGTGGTGGAACTGTTGGTGCTGCAGCAGCCTGGTCAGCCTGTGCTGCTGGACTGTCTCCTCTGCTGCTGCTGGCAGCCTGAGGGGCTGCAGCTGCAGGAACAGAATCCTTCTCTGCATCCAAGTGGACGCTGTCCATCTGTGATGGCTCTGTGTCGCTCTGCTCCTTCGCCTCCTCCCGGGCCTCAGAGGTGACCTCCAGCTCCTGGACAGCTGGGGGAACATGTTTACTTCCCTGTCTCTTCTGTTGCTCGCTCAGAGCTCTCTCCCGGTCGTGCTCTGCCAGCTTCTCAAATGACCGAAACACCTGGGGGGGAAAATACATCATCGCAGATCAGGAGCTGATGTTAGGATATGAGAAATAAATAAAGTGTTAGCTGCTTTTATTAAAATTTAAACTACTAGACTCCACAAAAAACTTTATGAAGAAACACCGATATTCTGGAAAAAGGAACAAAACTTCAGGATTTTGTTTTGTGATTCTTGTTTTTCTCAATAAAACACAATCACAAATGGTCATTTCAAAAAGTTTAATCAATTACGACCTACTCCAAATGATGTTCTATGAATATCCAGTGAATTTGTGTTGTTAATGATGCTCAGCTACTACCACACCAAGATTTAGCACAAGATCTGTACATGTTTTCCACAGTCAGCTGGGTGTGGGGCCACACTGAATTGGACTGGATCAGGAAGTTACTCAGTAGTGGATGCACATCCAATAATTATTTCCTGAAATTTCATAAAATCCTTTCTGTGGTTCTTGAGATATTTTAGTATCAGACAGATGACTCCAAAAAGTTACTGTGAGCCCTCATCCAATGTGGCAGGTAAGTATCTTTATAAGCTGGAGTAAGTTTTTTTTCAAAAAGTTAATCAGGTTCCTTTCAGTCATTATTTTCAGCTAAACTCATTGAACAACGTTCCGTGGTTCATGGGATGTTTTGGTTACAGAATTAATTTAGTAAAATTATCAGACTTCACCTTCAGCACCATCTTCTCGGCAACGCCCGGGGGGAAACCCATTTTATCGTTGGGTCCGGACAGCAGTCGGTAGAAGTCTGTTTTTCGGTACAGAAAGCCGAAGTAAACGTTGAGAAAGTCCTGAATGTTTCCAACGTGCTGCAGGATCCCCAGCAGAGCGTTGTCGTACATCTCTGTCATCTCCATCTTTGTTTTTTTATCTCCTTCAACAAACCGCGGACGCCTGATGAGCACAACAGAGCAGACACAACAAGAAAAAGTCTATTTTTAAATAAGAATTACTGGTCGAGTTGATATTTCTAGACTGTTTTCTTATTAAGTCTTTTCCGGTACTTCTCTTTCAAAATAAAAAAAAGTGTCCTACACGAGCTATCAAATTAAAGCACACAGTCAGTCAGAGAACTGGACTTTTAAAACAAATACCAAAATAAGTATGTAAATTTTATATTTTTTTAAACTGTGTTCATACATACCGTACACTCAAATCTAATCTTGTAGTGACATAAAATGTGTTTTATAGTCTTATTTCCGGTTGGTACAGCTCAACATCAATCCGGTGGAAACTACTAATCGCTTTTCCATTCCATTTCCTTCAAATTAAAGCACACAGTCAGAGAACTGGACTTTTTTAAAACAAATACCACAATAAGTATATAAATTAAACTGTGTTTATACATACCTTACACTCAAATCAAATCTTGTAGTGGCATTTTAAAAAAATGTGTTTTTTCCGGTTGGTACAGCTTAATATCAGTCCGGTGGAAACTACTAATCGCTTTTCCGTTCCTTTTCCTGTGTAACTTCAGGCTTTCAAGCGCAAGGACATTTTGTTTCAGAGCCTTTAAAAAGCACATCTTTTGAGAAACGTTTGTAATCAGTTCCTGGTGTGTAAAACAACTAAAACAGGATTAAGGCCAAAGTGATAGCTCTTTAGCTTTTCAAGCTAAACCGGAAGAGAAAAACATGGCGGCGTCCTTCAAGACAGGCACCGGGAGCGTGAGGCTGCTGGTGAGAAACACAAAAACAAACATGTGTTGGAATTTTAGATAGTGTTATTCTTGAATTAATGTGTATTTCTCCAGTGCAAAGAGTGTAAACAGGATCATTGTGCAGTGTTTCCCCTAGAAAATTGGTCTGGGCGTGGGGTGGGGGAGCTACTTGTTTCATAAAAAACATAAATTTACGCGACTCACCTGCAGTTATGGTAATAAATTTACACATACATGAATATTTAATTGCCTAACTACATCCTAGTTAAGGACTCTGTTGTGTTCTTTGTTCAAGGACCAGAAACTCTTCTTCATGCAACACCATTTTTATTTTCTTTTTCCACGCCCTTCTCCTTGTACAAACATTTCCTCCTCCTATATCTATCCTGTCTACACCATGTGATCAAGAATAATATTGACATCTAGTGGTTAAAACTGATATCTACATCATCACATATCATTACATCCTCCTTTCTTTAAAGTTAAAAAAAATTCTATATATTACAATACCTAAATCTTACTTAAAGTATCAAGTTCTTGAACTCATTAACCACTGGTACAACAATGGACAAATATAGCTAACATTTCAAACATTACATCGAACATAGTTACATTTCTTTCTTTTTTTTTTTTTTTAATCACAAGTCTAGTCTTTGAGGTTTTTTACTCTGTCTTGTAGATCTTCTTAAAACAGGCTCATTAGGGAGCTCTATGTTGGTATTTGAAGAAG